TGTGTGTGTGTGTGTGTGTGTGTGTGTGTGTGTGTGTGTGTGTGTGTTTTCTCTGTTAATTAGAGGCTCAGCTGCAGATGAAGCCGTGAGCCCCAGGCTACAGAATCCACGCCACTGAAAAATCACACCAGCCAAAACAAAGCAAAGAATCGTTCCCACTGAACCTCCAGCTGGACTCAGACCTCTCCCTGACCCTGAACCATCCTCTACACACCGGAAATCACATTTAGCATCTTCAGAAATCACATTTAGCTTCTTCAGAAATCACATTTAGCATCTTCAGAAATCACATTTAGCATCTTCAGAAAAGGGCTTCTGTCCCCATATGGTCTAAGCAGGTCTAAGTTGGAAAATATCTCGCCCAACACACACTCACTCCTTACTATCTGTTTTCTAAAAATGAAATAGCAACATTTTGAGATGAAATAGCCAAGTTATTAATTATTTTTGTTGAATCCAAAGCTCTATTTGTAGCGGATCTAGTTTCTTACAGTTTAAGTCAGACAGACCAGAAACAGCCAATCAGGTTGACTCAATCTGAGGCTGTGATTGGTTGGAACTGCGGTACCAATCCAACCCTGTTATAATTTTAATTATATCATAATATTCTTTTTTTTTTTTTTTTATTTACATCCAGCTGATGGTGGAGGGAAACTGAGCAGAGTTTCCACAGTGAGGAAATCTGTGAGGGAAGATCTGTGTAAAACCTCTTTGTCTTTTTCAGAGAGACGAGCTAAAATAAAAATCAATGTTTATTGTCTGTGTTTTCCACTCTGAGGGGGGAACATCTGCTCTGGCTGCAGCTGGGAGGGGCCTCTGCTCCGGGAGGGGGCCCCTGTGGGGGCCTGGGGGGGGGGGGGGGGGTGGGCTGCCCCCGCTGCTTGCTGGGGGGGGGGGGCTCTCTCTCTGATTGGCTTAGAAACAGCATTTCTAGAGGGCAGCCACCAAGTTAGTTTCATGGTTCACGACCCACCGGAAGGGACTTCCTGTCTATTTCCTGGGGAAAGACTACAGCTCCCAGGGTTCCTGCCCTAACGAGCTGAGGCCGTTCCACCAATCAGGAGGGGCCA